TACAACGGAAAGAGGGGCGAACACTTGTTGCTCTGGATCGCTGAAATCCAAACATACTGTGGGACTGCACCGGTAGAGCCGGAAAGCCAAGGGGCTTTTTCGACATCTCGTCTCAGCGAAACCGCCAAGGAATGGGTATTGTCCGAGGCCAATCTGCTGGGTTCGAGGACATCAGTGAGTGGGCAAAGACCCTGACTCTCCGCTAATTTCTCCAAAAGATCAAGGAGAGATTCTTGGATAAGACGACGGCCGATAAGGCTTTCGATGATCTCACCACCATAGGGCAAAAACGTTGGACCTCTATAGATGCGCTATCTCGTGAAGTTGATAGGTTGTTGCAGGTACCCGGATTGAACCTGCACGACAAGCAAGTCCTTTACATCTTCTTGAGAGTTTTGCCTGAACCCATTCGAGCACATCTTGTGGCTGAGGCCAAATCCGGTAAGTATAACTACCAACAATTCTGTGACCTCGCGCTCCAAAGCGAGCAAATGACTGCACAGGTAAAAGGGATGTATGCATCCGTGGTTAAGACAGGAGCAGTTGGTGGGTACGGGAAGCGGGTCCTTTGGCGGCAAAAGCGCCAGGACCACATGCTTGTGGTATTTGACGATGAAACCGTAGAGAAGTTACCCCTCGACGAGTCTGAGGGAGGAGTACCTAGTGGCGGCAGCGAGTCTGGGAAGGGTGCCGTCACTGCCGTAATGGCCAACAAGAGAGGCCAGACCCAATGGAAGAAGAAGAAGAGACCACACTCGTTTCCTGAGCATCCTGGCATTGTGTTCGGGAGGCCTTGGAAGAAAATGAATATGACACGAGAGGAATGGCAGTCCAAAACGGACAATCGCTAGTGCCTTAAGCGTGGTATTGTGGGGCACGTGATAGCCTGGTGCCCGCTTATTCGAAACCCAAAAGCAAGCAGCCAGTAGGAGTAGCATCTGCTCCTACTGAGTCGAAGGGTTCAGTCGAAGACAAAGGTAAGGCACCTACAACCCGTTCTACCCCTTCGACTCTCAAGGCAGAGGATGACTCTTCTTCCGCCAGTCGCACACACCACCCTGACACACTACTTTGTTTTGCCTCATTGGGCGATAACCTTGATGAGCTCGGCAATGAACTCATAGCACTACGAAGTTCATGGGCAAAGAAAGCTACGTCTAAGGGTGAGTTGATGATCGCGGATATTGAGATTGCACACATGCGAGTAGGTGCTTTGCTAGATCCGGGATCGCCGCAGTCTTATATCTCAGAGAAGGCAATTCATAAATTGCATTTGGGAATGAAGGTAAAAGACTTACCTCGACCTATTACGTCTATACTGGCTGACAAGAGGACGATCACTGTCTCTCAATACGTCGATCGTGTCAAGTGTTATTTCAGAACTAAGGAGCGAAATAATATATTATATGAGATATCCTTCCTAATAGAAAAGAACCTACCATTCGACATGATTCTAAGAATGGATTGGCACAAGGAAGCCGACCCAGAGGCAAGGTTCAAAGATAAAATTTTCAAACTCAAGGATGAGAAGTCCGAGCTGCGTGCTATAAAATTGTATCATAGGCCTGGCTCTGACTCTACTCTGTCTTTCTGTTGTATGAGTTATCCAACTTTTTGTTCAATGGTGATAAATGAGGAGTTGGATCTGGAGGTGATGACGGTGCTTGTCAAACGAGTCGGTGAGTGTTCCTCATCCTATCCACCTTCTATCGAGAAACTTCTCCATGAATATAAGGACTTGCAGACTGAGCCGACGGGAATCACTGAGCGTGCTATCAAGCACACGATGGAGAACTTGCAGACTGAGCCGACGGGAATCACTGAGCGTGCTATCAAGCACACGATCGAGATCATTCCCGGAAGCAAGATTCCCAAGGGTCCCATTTATCGTATGTCTCTTACTAGGGAACTTGAGGAACTGAGTAAGCAGCCGCAAAAACTTACTGACAAAGGATGGATTCGCCCTAGCTCATCTCCTTATGGAGAGCCTGTTTTATTCATACCTAAAAAGGAAGGTGACCTTCGTTTATGTATAAATTATCGTGGGCTGAATTCCGTCACTGTCAAAAACGTGGAGCCTCTTTCACGCATTGACGAACTATTAGGTCAGTCGCAGGGGTGCAGGTACTTCAGCAAGATTGATCTCAAGTCAAGGTACCACCAGATCGAGGTGGCTCCTGACCATACGAGGACTCAGGGCCTGAGCGTGAGACAGTTGACTTTGGTCAACTGTCGTGACCCAACAGTCAAAGTCCAAAGGTACCTAGCCCAGGCCGCTGGTCAAGCACACACTTGTTTGTACGCAGGTACCCAGACAGCATCAGGTCCAAGGGAGAAGTTTGCAACTGCACAATCCGAGCCCTCAGCTGCGAGTCAATCTGGACGACTGTGGGAAAAGCACCCGAGGCCAGACAGCCTCGACGATTGCTACTTAAGGCTGGCCTCGAGTGAGTCAAGCATTCAATCTTGCTATGCTACTTTGACGCTGGCTCGACTTTGACTAGAAGCTGGCATTATGCTGGCTTGACGCTGGCTAGACGCTGGCTGTGCATTGGTGATGCGGACGACAGCACGAGGTCAAGGCAGCATGCTGGCGCTTTCTGCATTGTACGTCAGGCTTGCTGAGGTGGCATGCTGATGTGGCGCTACCTCTGGTCTACATTGCATGCTGACCTGGCGCTACCTCTGGTCTACATTGCATGCTGATGTGGTGCTACCTCTGGTCTTCATTGTATGCTGATGTGGTGCTACCTCTGGTCTACATTGCATGCTGGCATGGCGCTACCTCTGGTCTACATTGCATGCTGATGTCTTGCTACCTCTGGTCTACATTGCATGCTGACATGGCGCTACCTCTGGTTTATATTGCATGCTGATGTGGTGTTACCTCTGGTCTACATTGCATACTGACATGGCGCTACCTCTGGTCTACATTGCATGCTGAAGTGGCGCTACCTCTGGTTTATAGTGCATGCTGATGAGGTGCTGCCACTGATCTCCATTGCTGATGTTGATGTGGCATATGCCACGTGTCTCAACTGTTGACGTGGCATTGTCCACTCTGTCTACACGAGGTGAGAGGGGTCTGAAGGGATTATTACTGTGTGATCTTCATCTTCTCCTTTGTCTACTCCCCCTCCACTCTCTTGTGATGGTAATGAGATACTGTTTGAGATATCACTTCACAATTTGGAGACCTTGATGCAGATAATGAGACTACTGATGTTTGACGACTTTTGAGTATCTGCCAGACTGAGTTCATTACACTCACCTCGAAAATAAATATGTATAACAAGCTGTTAAATTATTAATAGCATATGCTAGAACACCAACACAACATCTCACCTGGATTCTGCCATGCATCGTTTTGAGAGAGGGAAAAAAAAAAAAACAAAAAAAAAAACAGAATGAATGCCACCGAAAAACACATTTCCAACGAAACCGGCCAATATGGTCCTATTGCACATTGACAGCGTTCATAGGGCATTCACGTGCATTTCCAGTGGTTCCACCCCTCCCTATGCAACTTTGCAACCCTGGTCAATCAAGGTACTTTTTTTTTCCCCTCATTGGCTTTGCAAGAAACAGATTACAAAAAAAAAAAAAAAAAAAGTTGAAACAGGTAAGTTGATAACTCTAAAAGACATACTACCCACGACAGTCTTCCGACGAACAGAACGTCCAGTCAATATAGCTGTGCAAGGAAAATGAGCGATAGCGAACATTAGAAACCAAGCAGCATCATACACATGAGACCAGATAGTCGTGACCTTGAACCAAAAGCAGAATTGCAACACGAGTCCCACCAAATAGGAGCACAGCAAAAGCTCATAAGTGACAATGTTCGAATAGTCTCATCATCATCAACAAAGAACCAATGTCGATATCCTATCTGGCGCTCTGCGCCCAGACTACAAATGGCAGATGCTATCTAGCCTATCTACAATGCCGCTGGTGACGTCAACAGCTCCCCAAAGTACGAGCAGATCTCTGCCAATGCCGTTCGCCTCAAGTACCAGGTATGTCTCTTGTATCACTCACAACCTCGATCCCCCACTCACAGATGCACGTGCACCCAAGGACCACCATGCGCCTCATCCAGCTATCCAGCACAGCTCGGCTATGGCTGCCTGCTTCTCTCTCAACTCGCCCGTGAGCTCGTGAGCCTGGCCAGCGTGTAGCACAGCATGCATCCAGTGCCCGAATGAGGAATGCGGGGGGAGGCACTTTCCTAAATGGAAGTGGCCTGCCTGCTGTGAGCGACCTCGCTGCACCGGGCCTAGGACTAGAAGCTTCTGGTAGGCCCCGGGAGGCTGAAGCCCAGTCTGCGTGAACCAGGCCCAGGGCCTGTGACAGTTACCCGTGGCCAACTGCCCACAGCCTGAGTTGGATCCTTGTTTCGTATTTCGCCCAGGGCCTGACTCAGATGCATTCGATAAAGGTAGCCAGGGCCTGGGCTCTTCCAACCAACTGGTGCTGCACAACTGCCTGAATTTCTCCAGTAGTGTCGAGACCCCAAAATAGGCCTCGGTCGGGCCTGCCTTCAGTCAGGGCGGCCGACTGTACTGAAAAGAGGGCCCAGTAGGGCTTATGGAGGCCTTGAGCCTCGCAGCTGTCTGCTGCATTTGGGTCAATTTCCAGCCTTGGATACAGGCTCATACAGCAACACTGACCGTGCCTTGTATTCAGGGGAAGCCTGTAGTTTCCAGTATCTTATCATTTAATTTTTAGTATGGAACTGAAAAGACATTACGACCAGAACAGTTGGAGGAAACCATGGTTGTGTATGGAGTCGACAAACCGTTGAGCCAGGGCAACACTAAACAAGTATGTTTCGCTCATAGAACAAGCAGAATAGATCACAGAGTATGTTTCGCTCATAGAACAAGCAGAATAGATCACAGAGAAGCCGCAGGCAATGAAAGCTTACCTCATAGAACAAGCAGAAAAGAGAACAAGCAGAATAGGGCACAGAGAAGCGGCAGAGAATGAAAGTTTACCTCGTAGAACAAGCAGAAAAGGTCACAGAGAAGCTGCAGGCAATGAATGCACGCTTCTCGGAGCCACTCGTCTGCCTCCACTGTCTTCCCACTGTCAGTTCCAGCATGCCGAACCTGCAGATATCCGGACAAGAAAATCAACATCTGAGCTAGGCTACCAGCTGCACCAGCCGGGTCAACTTGTTTGCCCGGGCGGCCCGGGCGGCCCGGCCGTGCAAGATCCAAAGAATGTCCCAGCAAAAACAAAAAACAAAAAACTGAAAAAAAGTTTAAAAACTATGTTATGGCAGTATGCAGGAAAAGAAACTGAACAACTTTTGCCTCAGGGTCACATCGGAATTCTTTCCCAAATTTAAAATGATTTAATAACCTAAAGCAACGGTTTTTTTTATTTTTTTTATTGTTTTGCGCCCGGCCGGGCAAGTGGCCCCGGGCCAATCTGGTAGCCTAAATGTGAGGAAAAATAACAGCTTGCCCTCAAATGAAAAGAAATTTGAAAAGAGAGTTAAACCACCAGTACCTCGGCCCGCCATTTTTTTTTGTCGCGGCCGTATACGCGCCGCGACTTGCGGTGGTCGGCGGGGCGAGGACCGGTAAGTAAGAACCGGAAAAAAAAAAAAAAAAAAAAAAAAAAAAA